ATGTTGATAGCCACTGTGCTGCTACTCCCGGCCCAAAATCTCCTCAATATCGCATGAGCATTCTTGAATAAATTGCGCATGACGCAATAGAGTATTTCAACTCATACCGGGGAGCTTACGCATTCGTTTCCACGAACAGGTCGTTGAATGCAAATTTACTGATGAAGTCGTTCTTTCCAAACCGAGGAAAGAAAAGGGACTTCGCCTTCACCGTCTCGTTTCTTCGTGTTTCTCATTCCTTTCCTCCCCCTTCTCGACATGAATTCCTCGAGGGGGGAACGCTCACCTCTCATCGCATCCGTGAGGGAGGTTCTCCCTTCCTAGCGCATAGGGTCGGAATCGAGCTGGTTTATTAGATGGGAAAATGGTATCGGGGTCAGAGAGAAAAGGAAGTCGTTTTCCTCGATTGTCGCTTGGGTGTGAAATTCTTTTTTCATGCCACCCAGCATGCGAGACGATGAAGTTGGACGTGTAAAGCTCCGCAATATCAATTGTACTATTTTGACCGCCTTTATTAGTCCTTTATAGTTTTATAATCCCACGGTTATTCCACAGAGATGGAATGTCCCTATTATTACAGACATGCAAGTAGCAGTTCATGATTTAGGCGCGTTTTCGTCGTAGGCGAGCCAAGAGTTTGCGTCATAGAGATCCATTATAATGGCTTGCTTGTACAGTACCTCCAAATAGATGGGAGACCTGTCCCAAAAAGGAGCAGCGTGAAGAGAGCTCCACCTTCCTCGACTCCTATAGACAGGCTTCATATAATTTTTTTTACCTTCGGGGACGTCCCTCTTTCCTTTTCTTTCTGGGATTAAGGATGAAAATTCTCGTTCGTCTACGGCGCTCCTGTCTTAGCAATCGTCGCCGGAAGAAATTCGCTCCCGGCACGGATTTGCGCAGGCCGGCTGGCCTCCGTCGCTTCAAGTCGCAGCCAGACGAGGACCGGCATCGTCGCCGGGATCGACGCTCATCGACGTCGCCAGCCTCTTCGGTTTCGTGTCACGCTCTGTCGCGTTGGACTCCGTCAGGGTTGCTTCCTCGAACCTTTTTGTTCCTCGTGTACGTGGATAGGATCTGCTGGCGTAGCCTGGGCCTCGAAGGGATCGGCATCTCTGGTGTCAAAGTGAACATACCGGTCTCGACGAAAGCTTCAGAGTGTGCCCGATCGGTTCGACTCGGGAGCGAAATCGAACGTCCCCAAAAGGCAGGTTATGGTCCATTCGTGAAGTCCCGTGCAAGTGCGCCTTACACTTTAGGGGTGTCCCACTGGAACGGGTGGAGACGTTCGAGTACCTCAGGGTTTGGTTCTCGAGCGACGGGCGATACGGAAACGAGATCGACGGCCGCATCTCTAAGGCTTCCCCAGTTTTGCGGGAACTCTGGAGGATCGTGTTTCACGAAGGTGGAATTTCCAAGGGGGCGGACCTTCTGGTACTCACTAGCGTTTACGTGGTACATCCCTGCTCTCTCCTTCGGTCTCGAACTTTCGGTAACGACCGAAAAGATGAAGTCTTTGATACGAGCTGCCTCGATTCCAATATTAGAACAACTCATTACATTTACTCGAAAGGGTTTTCCGGCCTCTCACCCACCGCGATTCACTATCCTGCAACTCTCCCATGTCGTGTGTCGGAGCACTCAGGGCATCAATATCAACAGCGATATCGTTAGAAAGGTGAGCATGAGTTCTTTCCAAGGATGTATGATTTGTTGTGTCTCTTTTGAGTAAAACTTTTTTATTATTATAAATAATTGGTCAAAAGTGGCCTATCCTGAAAATTTGCATATTCTTCAATTGGCTTAATATCGTCGTGTGATATATCGCTAGGAAGATATTTCAAAGCTCTATGCAGTGTCTTGAGTCATATTCAATCGAAATCAAAATTATGAGAACCAAAATGTTGCTCACCCTAGACGTCTCCAAGCGTCGATGGGTGAGAAACATGTGTAATTCGAATCGGGTCAGCATACCGATAACCTGAGTCAAAATGAGAGCGAAAACCATCGCATAGAGCATTAAAAGACCTTTCTAGCGATACATCACACGACTATAATCAGCGAATTGAAGAAAAAGTGAAATTTTGGAATATGCCACTTTTGAGGATGTCTTCCTGGGGCCAGCAGAGTACGTCCCATCGGAAATCGGGTCGAGTCACCATTATAACAGGCTTTCGTGTCCGACTCTTGGCAACAGAACTTTCTGGCTTCGAACTTCGCCACCGAGCTTGTAAGAGTGCTGGGAACTGGAATAGGCACTCAAGGAGACATGGACCGAGGAATTCCTTTCTTTCCCCGTTCTTCGTTGAACCACTTCGCTTTCTCCGGTTCGTGTACCGCGTCATGGACTAAGCTGTTCCGTTCCTGACGCTTAACTGAGAAAATGCGAATTTCATATCAAGATAACTTGTTCAAGGTGACAGATAATTGCTCTGGGGTAACTAAGTAAAAGGCTATACTGTACACGATGGCTGTGTGTGTATACGCAAAAGCACCAGCAGACCGTCCGTGAGTGCTGAGCGCATTGAAACCATTCGGCAATCATTTCTACACAGTCCCCAAAAATCTGTGCGGCGTGTCAGTCGGGAACTTAACATGCCGAAAACAAGTGTCTGGCAGGTTCTTCGCAAGCGCCTTCATTTGTGGCCATATCGATTACAGATGTTGCAAAAACTGAAACCTTCGGACAAAGTGAAGCGGTATGACTTCTGTTGCAACTTCTTTTTGTGGGGTTTTGTGAAGAACAATGTCTACGTCCCTCCGCTGCCAACAACACTGGAGGAGTTGAAGACACAGATCAGAGAGGCCTGTGTTAAAATTGACCATCAAATGCACCGCAACGTGTGGCAAGAGATTGAATATCGGTACGATGTGGTTCGAGTTACTCGTGGCTCTCACATTGAACTTGATTAATGACTTTGTGTACGTCAATAAAAATGGTTAAAATTGTTCTTTCGGTTGATATGTGTTTCATAAGTGTAGCTTGAAGTAACGCTGAATAATAAAATATCCAAATTGGAAAAATCATTTACGGACACCCTGTATATTAGCGCCCCTTCGAGGGTGTCGTGCGAAAATAGGTATCCTTAACGCTATGCAACCCGCTGATTCTTGTGGTCCTACAGTGGACGAGAGAAGCGGGCGTCGCACGACGAACTCAATCTAAGGGAGAATTGCTTCCTGCAGTTGAAACCCCCTCCTGATGATAGGAATTGCCAAAACTCTGAATTAAAATGTGGAGTCCTCCTCGAGCCCATGGATGAGCAGAGGGGAAGAGTCCCAGAGTCACTACGCCGAGTCCCCATAGCGGACCTCCTCTCGCCCCTTCACGCCCTCACCTCTGCCCTACGCAGCAGTCCGTCTTGAACCTCCGGCCGGACAGCACGCGCGAGTCCGTCACGAACCCTCGGCCGGACAGCACGTGGGCGCGTGAGTGCGCCAGGACCCTTCGGCCGTACAACACGTGGCGTGTCGAGTCACACAGCCTGACCCTCACAGCCGGTCAACTCAGTGAACCGCGATGTGAGCCCCGAACTGCGTGCTGGTCTGTATAGCGAACTGCTGTGGACTCATCACGAGCCAACGACCTGGACCACGGTCGGCGGCCAGGAACCAACACATCCGATCGTCCACGTATCTGGGCGAAGTGCGTGCGAGCCCCAGCTACAACCGTGAGACTGCATCCCCCTGTATTTCTCCTTCCGGTCTTTCTCCCCCATTGAGTATCCTAATAAATTCTGCACAGTTGTTAACTTGATCTAAGGACGTACCTTCCTTCCTACTTCGAGTCTACGGAGATCTGAGACTTCGCTTCTCCCTCGCTAATTTACCATCTATAAGAACACGCAACCTTCTTGATTACCATCCGACCACGTTGGGTCTGATCCCCATATGTAGCGAGGCATTCGTGCCCCATATCTTGTGACCCCCTGGGGTTCGCTACAAACGTAACGTGAATATTCCAAAACAGCGTGAAAGGGTTGCATTTGTCTCAAATAAAGATCTGCTCCTGTGACAGGGGTAATAGACAATCGTGTAACCAATTATTATACTTGAAAGTATTACCTTTCATCGCTACTCGACAGACGCCATTTGCAGCACAGCAATGCGTGATGATGGCTTTTTTTTTATTGGTTTGACAAGCCAATGCGATGAAGCTGCTGTGGAAAAAAATTGTCTTGAATCCCCGATCCCCTCCCTTCATTACTGGGCATAATTCATTGAATTAATAATTTCCATAAACTTCGATAACGCAGTAGCGCAACACCGAAAAAATTGAAAACCTTATGAACCTTGACGTAGGACGAGTCCAGGGTTCTGCATTTCCAACTACTATGGGACGAGGTTCTACGGCGAAAATGGGAACTGAGGAAATTCAATAGTTCGGCATTAATGCCGTCTTGGTGACGGAGGTTGCCGTTAGGAATACCTCACGCGACGAACGTTGAATGCATTTACATGGTGAGCTCACTTTCGCTGAATTATGACTGATGAACCTGACTCTCCACTTTTGGGTTGTTCGAATGGAATACCCAAGATTGGACTGCCCGTACATCACTTCATACCATTACCTCACGTTCGTGGGAACGTCTGGAAATTGTGCTCACTTTTCAACGTGCACACGAACATATTCAGCATTGACGTTACGAGAGCAGAAAAATTGGCTACGGAAACAGAGCCCAACGTAACTACGACTTTTTCGTTTTAACGTGACCCATCTGTCGATCCCCTCCCAGTTTGGAGAACGAGTAATTCCAATAAATATTCTCATCTGCTCTCCCGACACATCAGCACTGACTCAACATCTCGTCAGACTTTCAGCATCATACATCCGCGACCTTAGATTCGAGACACTTTCTTCTCATCTCTGTCATTCTTCCATTTTACCAACATGGCAAAAGAAAGGCAGAGATAGAAAATTGACTGGGTGTAGGCGTCAATTCCTTCTCTCTTTAATCAACTTTTTTTTTCGAGATTGAGAAAAACAGCCTGCATGAGGCTCTTCTTTTTTGGTCACACTTTATTCAACCAGCAAACCCAAATTCAGTGTTTTTTTAGTCCATTCCTGTAGAGTACCCATTGCAGGACTTTTCACTGAAATTTGACACCAAATGTGCAATGATGTATGAATAAAAAAGTCACCAATGCCACCAACTCAAGCCACAAAGACATTAAATTTAAAAAAAATTCCATGCAGACTCTCCAAGGTCAGGGTCAAGGTCCCAATGGTTGGCTTTGACTAACATTCTGCATTCATCAAACTAATTCAAGAAACACATTTCAAAGAGTTCATGGTAGGTAGAAAGATGATCTTGCTTCCCCAACCCTTGACCTGAATGTGATTACAACTTATGGGATAATTCAAGAAATGTTGAAGAATCAGAATATTCCATTAAAGGCAACTTCAAAGCATTCCTATCGATCTATAGCCAATCCTAAATGAATCCTTGATGCAACAATCAGTGAGACCACATTCATTTCGACCTGTTTTATGCACCATTGGAACCATGAAGGCAACTAAGGCAGTGCAGAATCTCCATGCCATAGACTGCTATTTCATGACCATGGGGAAAAAACCCAAACCTTCACTTAATGAAAATAATACTTGTCTCATCAAACCAATTCTATTATCACCCTGTAAATATGCTGAACTAATGCCAAAGTCTTACACAATCATACAATCCATGAGGTAATATTATTTGGTGATAGTGTTATCATAAGCAGATGCTCCATGTGACATAGGTGACATAAATGCTCCATCATCCTGTAGATCTGCCTCATCATTTTGCCAATCTCCATCATAGAATACATAATGAGAAATTCAAGTTTAAGTGTTCAAGGGAAGCAGTTTTTTTTGATAATTTTGGGGATGAGATGAAGAAGTGTGAAGATTTTATCAGCAAACATCACTGGGTATGGGCCAAGAGGCTATCACATATGCCACTGCCATTCTGACACTGGATCTTTATAAGTTTCCCATGGAGGCCCATGGCACAGCTAGATCACAATTCATCATGTTCATGTTCATTCCCATAACGACGGCCTCCTTGTGCCCGAGGTTCAAAGTTTGAGGGAAGGATGAAGAGGCCTTCAGATGTCCTCCATGAAGTCTCTGGGGTGCCGGGAGTTGACATAGCACACACTTCCATCTGTCCGTGGATGGGACGACCAAATGTCTGCCCTGAAGCTCCCAGATACCTGGTCAATTAGATAGTCACATAAAAATATTCAATCACATCAAAACTGACTCATCATCATTCAATTGGTTCACCAAGATTCATGACACTTCAAGTTCATAAAGGGTACCATAGTGAATAATGCATATGAGTCACATGGAATCATGCCTTTGAAAGACTCTGAATCATTAGGAGCATGAATTTGAGTTGAGAGACTTTTGGCTCTATGAGATCTCTCCCCTATCCATTCTTCGTTATAAAGTGCATCAATTAGGCCTACCTCACACATTTGGAGTTATCACAGGATCACTGCATTGAATATAAATCAGAATGCCTGAAAGCAGGGAAAACCTAGCAAAAGAGCGAGCAATAGCGGGTTACTCACAACAATCTAAATCAGAATTGGTAGAGGCTGATTGTTACTAAGTTAACATTTGTCAAACCCTGCTTCAACATATTCATGTTCATTTCTCCGATTACTTGTGTGGTACCTTTGCAGTCTCACTATTCTCACAGGTCTACCCTCTTCATGAAGATTATTGTCAAAAGGAGAATGTGAAAACTCACATTTCTGTGTCCACATGTCTCAGCATGATGTCTGCATCTCGAGGCCAATAAGAGCCTTCACACACAACAGTCCAATGATCCCCAGAATCCCCATCTCCTGCAATACATAGATAAAAGCAAACTCCATACAATGCATTTTGTAAACAACATACTTTCTTTGTGCTCTAACCATGTCAACCTTTGTGTCAACAAAACACAATTTGCGGGAAGCGCTGCTTTTTTGTTTTAATTTGAAGAAAAGTGCAGCCGATGGACATCGATTGCTGTGTGAAGCATATGGGCGACTAGGGTGGTCTACGTGTCGTAATCGAAGAACGGTACTTATAAGCCAAAACGGCAACTTCAACTACGTACCGGCCCGAATGGGGTGCTAAAAGACGCGAAACCCAACAGCATCACCTAGGTGAATTCGTCCCCCGTCACGATTCGATGCAAAAAACCCTTCCGATTTTGCCTTTGGAGCAGTTGTTCGCACGTGAAAAAACGGCGTTCGACGTTTCTTGGCTTGAGTTCATACGGAACCCAATTTCCTTGTTTTTGCACCATACCCATGGCCTTGAGACGGTTTGAAATCGCTTGTTGAGTCACTCCCAAGGTTTCAGCGAGCTCCTCTTGAGTTTGGCATGAATCTTGGTCCAATAACGCCTCCAACTCAGCGTCTTCAAACTTTACTGGCCTCCCTTCGCGTTCTTTGTCGCTGGTGTCAAAATCGCCACTTTTAAAACGCCGGAACCAGTACTCACACGTTTTTATTGATGGAGCATGTTCCCCATATGCTTCACACAGCAATCGATGTCCATCGGCTGCACTTTTCTTCAAATTAAAACAAAAAAGCAGCGCTTCCCGCAAATTGTGTTTTGTTGGCACAAAGGTTGACATGGTTAGAGCACAAAGAAAGTATGTTGTTTACACTTCAGCGACATGACACATACTGATTTTTAGCGGGAAATGATGACGCTTCAACATGAATATAGTTACAAGATGGTCCGATGCGATTTAATGCTAGTTACGCCATCTTTTGTAAATCCCTCAAAACTTATTTGTACC